GGGAGTTTGTGTTGAATGACATGAGGGATGTGCTCTGAGTCACCAGTACTGTATAGTGGGATAGAGGGAGTGTTGGTGTGGGAGATCCTGGGAATCCAACTGGTGGATGACACCTCAAAGTCTTCAAGAACTCGTAGTCAGTCATTACCGGTAAATTCCACCTTGAAGAAATACTCAACATTACTTCAGATTAGGATGTTCTCCAACAATTTATGTGACTTTGTGATCTTTGTAGCTCTTTGTTTTGGTTTCCAGATTCCACAGTCTGCAATTATAAATTGTACAGATATTTATCCACAGCAGATAAAGACTAAACTTCTTGTTCTACGGCTCTACTTTTTCTTGGTCAGTTTTAGGCTAAACCATAGACGGTTTAAAAGAAGTGGGCGCAGCCACTGTGGTGTGGTTTGTGGACTACATTTTTGAAGCCTTCAGTTTGGCATTTTGGCCGTCCCCATCTTGTTTTTTTGGAACTAGACATGACCATATTTGAATGAGAGGGTGGAGCTGGCTAGCTTGGTTAGCAAGGCGCATCTGTAATTTACATTAACTGTGATATTAACTGGGATGCTAATTTTGGCTAGTGACAAACAGGCTTAAAACAAAACGTACCAACTCCTAAGAGTGTCTCTATCTACAACCTCATGCTGAACAAGACAGTTTTAGGACCAAAATGCTCCAGTCAACTTTGATGAAGTAAAAACACTCAAAGACTCACAAAAACGAAAACACCTACAAGTTCACGGCTGATTAAAATGTACTGTTAAATGTAATGACTTGTCAATGACCTTTTAGCCCCGCCCTAAAGCCTCCCCTGTTTGCTCTGTATCATGGTATTTGTGATGGTATTGGATTTCTTCAGAAACACATATGCCACCTTTAAGTGAACAGCACAGTATCTTTTAGGCAATCACATATGTTGTAGACAGTATCACAGCAAAATGTGAACAGGACATCAGAGGAGTTTGACGTATCTGTGATGATTTACTGCAGAGATGCTTACAAGTCTCTGAGCTAGAGTCCACGTCAAGTCTCAAGTCACTCGTGGTTATAATGAATGTTGTATCACCTGCTGTGTTCAATCCAGGCTGCTTATAAAACAGCATAGCTATAAGAAATTCTGTAACTGTAACCTGTTTTTCACTTACAGAGCACAACCATTTAATGTGCAATGCAACTAATGACAGCTTATTAACTACTGTAAGTCAGCACCAACCGCAGGCTCTCAAACCCAGTGTAACGTTAACTAAATAAAACTGTAAGGTTACATGATCAACAATAAACCTGTAACCTGTTTGCAGCAGGTGTTAACGTGATGGCAGCCAGCGGGACGTAAATGATTATGTTAATCTACCACCACAAGTTTGGCAAGTAAACAAACGCTCATTCATCTTTTCATAACAAGCGACAGTCAGAGTTATGCTGCATTCAGACCAACCGCAAATTTTTGCCTTGCGACGCTTTCCTTGCGTGAGTACATTCGCTGCAAGTATTCACACACAACGTGAGAAGGCGATTTTAATGCAATAGCGTGAATAAACACAACTCACCTTTACTACAGCTGTATGAACCCAAAGTAAACATTTTGCTGTGATTAAATAGCAATAAATGGATTAAACTGATGTCGAAATAACTACAACATGATGCAGATTTGTTAAACATATGAATTCATGCTTTGTCAGGTCTGTCAGCAAGACAACAACTTCTAAAATGTTTGTTTTCTGAATGGAGTTTGGATCAATCAGGGCTGTACTATGCTAACTTGGTCACAGTAATGTACAATGATAGCTGGAATAAAGTTACAGACACATGTTTTCTGAACTCACCAGGAAGTTCAACCTCCTCGCATTCTTTTCTCCCAGCAATGTCCAGTTTTGTCCGGTTTTTATATAAATATGAAGTCGTAGTCCGACAGAGCTAACGACGCTAACAACAACACTGGAACCAGATGTGCACGGAACCTAGCTGCTGAGAAGCTCCAGTGAAGATAAATCAATGTTTAAAACCCAAAAACTAAAGTAAAAAGCTAATTTAATAAATGCAGTTAACTCCGAGCTCGTCCGAGTAAACGGCGTTTCAGAGCAGAATCCGACCGACTACGGGTGTTTATTTGTCCAGTGTTTGCAGCGCAGCTCCCTGCTCCTCTCCCCCAAGTTTAGCAGCTCTCAGCCTGCCAGCAGATTTTCAATCCCGCGCTCTGCCCGGCCCTCTCCACACAACGCTCTGAAGCCTCGGTGATGTACGGACTATCGTGACTCAGCGTCATGCAACTTCTTCACTTGAGTTGAAAATATTCACTTCTTTGTTTGGGCCTTGTTGTATGGAGTTTTAAAGCCAAAGTTTATGATGAATGGCTCAGCAGCTGCCGGTGTTTGTTGTACTCTCCCACGTGTGGCCGGGCGCAGCTGATACTACGTGTTATGTAGGCAGGTTGTAGTTAACGTGGGGGGGGGATCACAGCACACTCATTAGACGCTTCCTAAAAATAAAAATTGTTCACGAGTCCCACACATCGAGTCCGAGTCAAGTCTAAAGTCACTGTGTATGCGTCTCAAACTCGAGTCCCCATCTCAAGTTAACTGGATATTGATGGTTGTCATTGTGCTTTAAACCAGTAATTTAATTTGTTGCAGGATGATTTACTTGTTAAAAATTCAACACGTGTAGTCGTCCATTATTGTTATACAGACCTGGTTTGTATGAAGGGGGAAAGTTTTGATTTATTTTTCTATTTACAACTCTAAGTTCATAGTCAAAAGTAGAGAGACATAAGAAACATGAGCTCATTGACAGTTTGATATATTTTGGATTTTACTGGTCTGTGGGACAACCCACAACCTTCAGCAAAAAATGTGTAATTTCCCAGAAAGCATGTCAGATGTTGCTGAATTGATGCAGATCAGGTTCTTGTGATTTTAGGGGGTCAGGAGTCTGTCTGATTATCACAGCAGCAGAGGGGGGTGGGGGCAGGGCTGGTGGTTAGGGTGAGGGGGAGGTTTGGGGGAGTGTTTTGTCTCCCTTTTCAGTGATAGCAGTCCAATAATCTATTCATGGGGATCCTCCAGGGAAAAGAGCCCAGCTGCTCTAATTTGAGAATAAAGAGGAGGCCACCTTTGTTCGGTCGCTCAGGCTCTAAATTCATGAAGGCACGTCAATCACCTCCCCCTCCTCCCACCAGCCCCTCCCTCCTTTAATTCCTCCACTCCCAACGCTTGGCACATTTAGATATTTTGCTCTGGCTTTCCATATAATCTTTTGTCCCAATCTCATGTTTTATTTTATACAGTGTGCTGCATTTTTGTTGACGATATTTCTGATGTCACCCTCCACACACTGAGTGATCTCCCCTTTCAGCTGCCTTTGAATACATAAATACATAGAAATAAACATAAAATTTAAATGATGTCTCTTATAATCTCTTAAACATGATTGCGCTCTCAAAACAGAAATACAATAAGGGTCATGGTGTTTGCAGCTGATACTGTTCTGGAAACTTCTTCTGCTGTTGCTCAGACAAATAATGAAAGAATGATATCTTTTAGGGAACTGCTGATAAACTGCACATAAAAAAGTCCAGAATGAGAAGTAACAGTACAGTAAACCTTAAAAACACATCAAATAAAGAATAAATGTGATAAATAACAAAGAAAATGTGTAAAAGAGCATTCATGTAAGTGACATTACCAACCTAGATGATGATGATGATGATGATGATGGTGATTGTGGTAGTGATGAAGGTGGTGGTGATGATGAGCCGTCATCAGGTGGTTATTTTGACAGGAACTGAAGGAATCTGTAGACGACTTGTTACACTGCAGAGGGCTTTTATTTTGAAAGTTATTCACTTTACACACAGCTCTGGAATAAGTTCCTTTTTTCTTTGTTTTGACCATGTAGACAGAGAGGGTTTAATGGGAAACCACAACACAGATGATCTTTCATAGAATTATTAACTTAACAGAAAATAAACCAATTAACAAAACAAACTGCTAACAGAACCAAAAATACAGTTTTTGGCAAATAAGCACAAAAGAAACATCTTTTTACATATGCTCATGGTTTGTTCATTTCTTTTGAATATGTAGTTTTGATTTTGCTCATTTATTCCCCTGAAGTCCGAAGGATGTACCGTTTGCACAATATTTTATAATTTATGATTTTATTTTCCTAATGTACATCAACCCAGAACATATCACACACTATAACAAAAGTACAGAAGTCGTAAGAGGCCATACATTCATACATTTTATTTACTCCGTTTTCCTAAGTTAGTTTAGTTTGTTTTCTTGAAATGACAAATGTTGTTTTCTCAAGATAACGGGATAATATTTTCAAGATCTCGAGATAATGAAACTTTATTTTCCTGAGATAATGATATAATTAATTTGAGGTCTTTTGTGAATTTATGTCCTCTTAGAGCTTCCGTACCAACGACTCCACAACCAACCCAAAACAAACAACAACAAAAACTTGGTATAGATATATAAGGGGAAAAAAGTTTTATCCTGTTTGCAGAATTAATATGTAAAAATACACCATTGTCTTGTGGGATTTCGGGGTTCTGTATATTATGGATTTTTTGTATTGAGTGAAAAAAGGTTTTGGTCTCAGTGAAATGTTATTTTGTTTCGGCGTTTCCGAGCCACCGTACATTTGCAGCATGACTATTTATATTTATTTATATGAATATTATAACATTACTGAGAAAACTACAGAAAATATCAGAAATAAGTGCAGAATTTAAATAATAATTTAAACAGTAACCGCCAGCAGGACTTTACTTTCTTCTTCTTCGGTTTCTACAATTATCATTCAGACGTTAAACTCCTCTCATGTCAGTTTTGGGGTTTTAGCCTCCATGTGTGAAGGCACTCCTGCACCTCCATGTGAACTGACTGTAAACAAACCGCTGTTCATTAATATTCAGCAGTGGGCAGGGGTCTGTAGCAAGGCCACGCCCTATTGCTGGTTGATATTACCCAGCCTCCTCCGGGTCCGACCAAAGTGCTGCTCGCAGTCTGTGCACGCTGTGTTCCCTGGGAGAGGTAATAAAAGGCAAGCAGGACAATAGCAGACAAAAGGTTTCCCTGCAGGACGGATCTCTTCTGTCGGGACTTTGTGGAGATCTTTAATAAGGAAAGCTGCAGCGCTGTCTCCGCCCGTGCATGTCCCATCCAGAGGAGCCTACACCCGGAGCGGAGGGTCGCGCCGACTATCCCTGAGCCCGAAAGCCGCCAGGCAGCAGCCCGCCTCCAGCATGACCCTCACCCGGAGCTCCGTCCTCTTCCTCGCTGCCGTCAGCCTGCAGCTCCTGCTGCTCTCCGCCCGCATCCAGGTACACCAGACTCCCGCTAATATTTAGGCTATTTAAGTTTCTCTTGAACAGCAGCTGGCTGAGTTTATGCCCGAAGAGACTGAAACGTGGAGCAAACCTTTCTGTCATGTTCTGGAGACAATTCTGTTGATTTATCCTACTGATATCTTCATAAATGAGCGGATACGTTTGAGAAGGCGAAAGTTTTCATTTTCAACTCTCTCAAATTGTTTCTACTGGCATTAATGACTCAGGCTACAGAATCTGGAAAAATATTAAGAGAAAGAAAGTTTTTTTAAATGTCATAAATGCTCTTCAGTCTTCTCTTACAGGAGGAAAATCACTGTTGAACTCGCTTTGGAAAGTTCCTTAAGTTAGTTATTGATGAAGCTTAAACATTTTAAAATGTTTCACACAAAGCTGAATTCATCTGGAATAAGAGCGATAAAGGAAAAAACAGATTTTTGATGCTTTACAAACCAGATGTTGCTTTTGCTCCTCAGTCTGCTCACATATCAGTTATTCAGGGATTTTAATTGAGAAGTGGGACTTTAATCAGTGAACTTAAAGGACTATTAATATTTAGTGTTGTGTACATAAGTAAGTCATTTGTAAATGGCATTGGGACATTATGTTTTGGTCAGCTTTGGATCACATGTACTGCCTTTTGTGTTTCCTGCTGTCACTTCAGCCGCTTGAACTCTTTGACCCCGTGCTCATTCAACAACCTTTTTCGCCTGGTTTTCTAAACTTTGTCTTGTCATTGCTTATATTTGTTCTTTAAACATTTCCAGGACTGAGCACGTAGCATTAGTTTGAAGCAGGAAAAGCATCCAGGTGAAAAATTTGAACTCTTTTGACTCTCTTCATTGAGAAAAAGCATCAAATCCTCACATTTAAGAAGCTGGAGTCAGCAGATATATGACGACAGCTTTACTCTGCGTTACTTTTGCATAACTTTATTTTTAAATTGTAGTGACCAAAAGTTTCCAAAGCTAACAAATAATTCAGGTTCTTTAGGTTGAAAACTTTTCACTCAGTGTCGACCTCATACAGCTGCTCCGTCGCAGGTTCAGTTCGCTCGTCATGCAGAGCAAGACTCAACCTGTGAACAGTTGGATGATGTCCTCTGATGATGTCATAGTGATGTAATCTGGGCTTTAAGACAAAAGCTGAATTCAAGTTTCCACACTCACGGACCCACGGACTTTGAGGCGTGTTCCCGGTGTTTAGGGGTGTCCCACTGTCAAATCATCAGGTGCACGAGGGCTCTCGGCAGTCTTTGCCTGAGGGAATTACCCACAGTTCATAGCATTGTGACATTAAACATGGGGTTACCGGGGTAAGCCGGCATTAACAATAAAAGGTAAACAAACATGGAAGGAGCAACTACAAGGAAAAAAAATTTATGTCAAATTACATGTACGTTTACGTGTTAAGGCTGCAACTAAACATTATTTTCAGTGTCATTGATTCTGTTGATTTTTTTCCCTCGACTAATGGATCAGTTGTTTGGTCTTTAAAATGTCAGAAAATTTTCGATCACTGTTTTTCAAAACCTAGAAGACGTGTTGTTTTGTCCACTTCCAAAATATATTCAGTGTACTGTAACAGAGGAGCAAAGAAACCAGAAAATATTCACAATCAAGAAGCTGGAATCAGAGAATTATGACTTTTTCTCTTAAAAAATGACTCGAATGATTAAACGGTTATCAAAATAGTAGCAGATTAATTTAATAGTTGACAACTAATTGATTAATTGTTGCAGCTCTACACAGGTAATTTTCAGATATTCTTTAAAAATTCTTTGGCAAGAGCCTGGAATACGTTGCGATCAGACTATTGGTCCCTTCTGCACCTTGGTTGTGAAGAAAGTAAAAAATGTAAAATAAAAACTCCCAAACCCCAAATTTTTCTTTACGTCTGTGTGGGCTCAGGGTGGAGACTGGGACTGGGCCAAAGTCTGTAATTTAAAACGAGAGTTTTAAAGTTTAGAGTTTTAGAGTTTAATGGACGTGGTCGTTCCCCAGGTAGGGAAAGACTTAAGCCAAGATGCTTTATGGGAAATGTAGGCTCTAGCATTTTCTCAGCTGGACCTATAAAAGTCAGGATATCTTGAACTCTCAAATCTTGTTGAAGTGCAACACTGTGGCAGAGTTTCCCTTTAATCCCACTACAGGGGGGATTTTTTAAGAGGTTAAAGGGACACTGTTCCATCATCACATGATGCTTTTCACCATCATCCATTTATTTCTACTGATATTTTACACAAACCTGAGACCTGCACCAATATAACAGGATCCTACTTGGGTCTGATTGGTAACTGGCTTTGGTCTGAGGAAAACCAGTGGCCCTGTAATTTGTAGACTCTTGTTGCTCTCATTTGTTGGTGTACCTGCTGTGAACTCACCTGTCGGCCGTCTCTGCAGGTCTCTTCAGCTTCGGGATACTTTGAGCTTCAGATCTTGTCGATGCAGAACGTTAACGGGCAGCTTCATACTGGCGCCTGCTGTGACGGATCCAGGGACGCCACGGATCGGCGCTGCACCGCGGATGAATGCGACACCTACTTCCGGGTGTGCCTGAAGGAGTACCAGCTGAAGATATCCTCGGCCGGGCCCTGCAGCTTCGGCGCCGCCTCCACGCCCGTGCTTGGTGGGAACACCTTTTCTGTGCACAGCGCCAAGAGCGACAAAGCCAGGATCGTGCTGCCGTTCAGCTTCGCGTGGCCGGTAAGTTCTAAAGGTTTAGATGTGGGAGAGTTTTTTGATGCTTCTGTTGCTCCTTCATGCAGATTTTCAGCTCCTGAACTAAAGATATGGTTTTAGTCTGGTGTTCAAAGACAGCTGAAGCTCTGATGTTGACTGATGCGGTGTTCTCCTCAGCTGCATCATCGGTAAAAACAGCAAGTAGAGCAGCGTCATCTACTGCTCATGTGACTTTAGATATTTTACCTTCAGCAGAAGGAGCTAGTGTGAAAAGAGGCAATTTACAGTTGAGAGTTTGGAAATGCAAAAGACAGAGTTGTTCTATGGCTTCAGGAGGAACCAGTAAAACAGGTCTGCAGCATCCAGACATCTGTGAGACCCTTAACCCTTTTATGTAAATGTTACAACCATTTTCAGCCGATATCCTCTATCCATCCGGTACAGCATAGTATCGCGATATTTTCTGTGGCAATACTGTATCAATACATGGACGCCAAGTATCCATCTTTTATTATATAAATTGTACATGAGAATTTTAGTTTTTGGTAAATAAATAAATAAATAATAAATAAAATCAATTGCTTTTTCAGTCTACAAGAAGAGTTTTCCTTTGGGGACACCATGTGAAGTTGGAAAAAAGCTAATAAATTCCAATACATCGCAATGTTTAAAATCGCAATAGTATCGTGACATAAATATTGTGGGGCCTCTGCTGATTCATCAGGAGCTAGCTGGCTAAAGTAAAGAGAGTTTGAACTGCAGCTGACAAAGTGACTTTTACAACGGCTGGACTGGCTGAGGTTGAAAGAAGGGAGACATTTTAAAAAACTGCACAGATAAAGATGTTTTCATGAAGATCTTTGACTCAGTTGTGATAACAGATGATAAGTGTTGGATGTTTTTTCTGCGGTGTGTTGCTCGGTACTTGATTACATGTCCTTTACCTCAGGTTCACTGCCTCAAACTGTTACCTGTAACTCTACTTGACCTCGTGGTTTGATAGTTTTATTACTTTAATTCGGAAGTGTTGTCAGATTCCTTGTTATGTAACATGTCTGTTGATTCTTGAACAATATTTTCACATTTTTATACTTCTGATCTCGTATTTCTGAGCTTGTGAAATGTTATTATGAGATGCTGAGTCATAAAGTTGACTTGTAAGCAATAATTATTTGACTAACTGATAATTAGGAGCTACTCAGAGATTTTTCTCAGATCTGTTTTCTTGGTGGGGTCGAGCAGCAGATTGGAAGCAGCTTGGTTTCTTACTCTGATCGGCCTCCGGGTCAATGTGGTGTGAGTCCAGATCTCTGCGGTGTTCATCAGACACCGGCTGAGGTTTCTTGTGCTCATCAGTGGCTGCTGAGGTTTCTTGAGGAAAGGACGCTGGCGGGCGGGCAGCCGGGCCGAGGACGCCTTTATTTCCTGCCTTGTCGTCTGGTTGTCTCCCCTGACCTCCCAGCGTGGCGGGTGATAAAGGCCAGTTGTTGGCGGCTCTGCTCGGCCGGCTGCAGGACATTCCTGCCGCTGCCCCTGGTGACTGGGGTGTTAAATGAAGCCGTGGTGGTCGTCTGGCGGGGTGAAGCTTTCTGTTGTTGTCCTCAGTCTAAACTAGCAGGACCAACCCAAACAGCCTCTCTGTGTGCGTCAGTCGTGTTCATTGGCGCTCAGGATGTGTCAGGTCGTGCCAAACCTGCAGCGTTTCACCCGAGACTCCACCGCTGCTTCATCCCCCCACCTCCATTATTTCAGTAGTTTCACCGTGCTTGTACTTCAAAAATCCTTTCCCTCCTGCCATCTTGTCTTTCTTTTTGTGTCCTAAAACCTTTTGTTGTGGTGTCTCACCCTCTGGTACCTTTTTCAATTTCCTGCTTTTTCTTTCTTTCTTTGCTTTTTCTTTGGTTTCTATCAGGAGGGCACTAGGAGAACAATGGGCGGGGACCTGGCTGGGCTGCAGCCGAGGCTTATGGGACAATGCCGGGAGGTGTGTGTGTGTGTGTGGGGGGGGGGGTTGGATTGTGCACCGTGAGCGAGAGGGTAGTGGAGGTGGTTTAGGAACATGCCAAACAGCAACCAGAGCAAAGTTAGTGATGCAGCTCAGCAGCATCACCACCACCACTCTCATGTCACTGAGTGCCACCAACTACATTATAACATTTATAATATATCCAGGATTCAAGCATTAACAGGAGTCTTTGACACTCAAAGTCCAGCTCTGATGAATATTCACAGTAACCTTCAAACTGGAAAAAGTTGTGGAGTCAAATTCCTTAGTGAGACAAAGAGTTGGTTTTGTTCTTTGTGTTGTTTTTTAGTTCAGGCCGTGTTGAAGTTGTTTGGAGGTTTCAGGGTGTGTTCACTAGCAGCAGTAGTAGTGAAGAACTCTGGATCCAGACTCAGTTAAGCTGCTTGTTTTTAGGCCTCTGCTCCTCAAAAATACAAACTGTTAAACGCTGAGGGTTTTGTTGGAACAAATGATGTTGTCTTAACCAGACCACCCCGAAAACACACACACACACACACACACACACACACACACACACACACACGACACGAACCAGTCATCCATGCCGGGTTGAGCTGGATGGATGACTGGTTTCCCAACAGTCAGTGTCTGAAGTGACCTAAATTGAACTGGAAAACAAATAATGAGCCAGCGAATATTCATATTACTAATTCAAATAATAAAATGAAAATAATAAACCTGCATTGCTTATAGATCAGCTGCTGTGTAAAATGAGATTGGATCAGATTTAGAGTTCAAAACTTTTCATCTGATGTTCTCACAGCTGCAGTGACGAGTCTTGCATAATCGTGCACAGCTGTGGCTCTCAGCTAAATGCTAACCTTGTTTAGCAGGTTTAACAGGCAGCGTGCAGCTGAGGATGATGGGAAGTGTCATCAGCTTTGCAGATATTTGGTCATAAATCAAAGAGTTTGACACAGTAAAAGCTTGACCTGATGATGGCATTACAGTTCATCCTGAGGGAACAAACTTGGCCGTCTCTGAGGCTGGAGTGGCTAAAAACGGTTTCAGTTAAAGGCAGAGTTACGTTTTCGCATTTGTGATCCTGATCACAGCCTGAATAATACAAAAGGGCGGTGACCGTCGCGGCGGCGACTCAGACTCCGCTTTTTATTGACAGTTTCGGTTCAGTCAGAGGCCAAACCAGAGGATGTCTGTCTGTCCTCTTCTGTCCTGTTGGTATATCCTGAGTTCGACTGCATCTCAACACGTTTCCATTCTCCTGTAACAGACACAACCACAGGTGTCATTCACACTGGGGACACTGGGGGACATGTCCCCACCACTTTTTGAAGCATTTGTTAAAAATTCTGAAAAATAGCAACTAGAAATGTTAGACAAATGAAAATGCACAATAAGAAAACATGCAAAGTAAATATAGAAGAAACAACAGTGCATGGTCCAAAAAAGTACCTTGATGAAAAAAGCTACTGCATTATGTTACACTACATTTTTATATTTTGAATTGTTACCTGTCTCCTGATCTTTGTGCTTCCCTTCATATGAATATTCCACCAGAATGCAGGAAATTAAGTGTTAAATGCTCGATTTTCCCAGAGCCCCCACTCAGATATTTCAGTGTTAAAATATCTTGTTCTGGTGAACCTAATAATGTGTATCGTCACACTGAGCCCTCCCACACCCCCCAGACTGAGCCCTCATGTCCCTCCACAACTTGTCAACACACAGCGACGCCCCTGGACACAACTCATTAAAATGTTTAGAAAGAAAGGAAAAGAATGAAGGAAGGATGGAGAGAAAGGAAAGCTTAGCCTGACTGATGACTGCCCCAGTGAATTATGGGGTTAGAGGGAGCAGAAAGGACTGCTGGGATGTTTTTCCCCATTGTGCCATGCTCCAAGGAGTCCAGATGTACCCGACCAAACATGGACATTTCTGAGTCCCGCTGCGGACGGACGCTGGAAACATCCAGTTGCTCTGTGATTAGTTTCCCACCCTTGCTTCCGTCTTTCCTTTCTTTCCTTCCCTCCTCACTGTCTCTAGTTCCCGTGTGATATCAGACGGGTTCTCACAGGTTCAGGTTCATCTGTTACCGCACAGCAATGATGTGTCAGTACACGACTGAATGAGACGGAGGAAGGAGGTCTGAGAAGATCATCCAGGTCAGAGTTATCCAAGGAAGGCTAAACTCAAGGGTAGCTGGATTACTGACAACTGATTTTAACCTTCCTTGGATGCCTGGAAGGAAGGAAAGACTGACGGGATTATTTAGACGTCTATTACGATGTAAAAGTCTTAACAAGTAGAAACATATGTGAACAAATACAAATGATTTCAACCTTGAGTTCAAAACATTTTCTAGAAACAAGCGTCTCGTTCTGTTTGCAGCTTCTCTGCTGTGAGGATTTGCTGTTTTCTCAGTTTTCTATCATGTTAAACTGAATATCTTTGGGTTTTGCACTGTTGTTTGGAGCTTGAAGAGGTCATGTTGGGATCCGGGAAAGTGCACTAGATGGATTTGATAGATTAAGTGATCAGAGACTTTCCGATACTGCGTCTTCAGTGCTTTGCGGTGGATCCCCTCAGGCTGCCCTGAATGCTCCTGATTCTCACTTTTTCGAGCCAGTGGTGCTTGAACTGCCTCATATCCTCATCATGTTGTCAGTCAGCCTGGTTGAGGCAGATAAACCACCAAACAGAACATGAACAGAGGAAGTTTTTATTTATTTTTCGGGCGAGTTCAGAGCACCCGCCCTCCCTCCTCCCCGCCTGGATCTGCCTCCACATGTCGCCTTGCTCTGACTGCTCACAAACTATTTTCCCACACTGCGCCTGCAGGCTGAGAAAGCAGTTCCACCTCCTCAATCAAACAATGAAAGTGTCAGGGAGTGATGGGAAATCACCAGCAGCCTGCAGCCGAATGCTGGTAGATGTGAGTGGAACCTGTTGGCAGGTAACCAGCTGTCAGGTTCTCGTTCTCTCTCGCGTCTGAAATTTAATTATCTGCTAAAATGTTTTTGGGGTGCCACCCACTGTGTTTGGTGGGCAACTCGTTTGTTTTTCCTGCAGCGTCAGGAGGCATCAGTCCAACGCCCAGATCTGGTTTCAGCCAGAGAAGTGACGCAAGGATGTTGCAAGAGTTGTTGAGAGTCACAGCTTCAGCACGTTGGCTCGGTTCTGGATTAGTGACCGTAATGTGGCGTTGGGGTAAACAGCTGTGTGGTATGCTGGAGACGTGACAGGGTTTTCAGATTGTTTTGGGCCTGGGGTTGAGTTTGGTTCTGATTTTGCTTTAGGGTTAGATTCAGCTTCTTGTCAGTAAGAAAATAAAATATGTTGGAAGCACAAACTTTATTTTCAGTTTGCAGTCATTTTGTGACTAAATAAAGGAAACTTTAAATACCCATCTTGACATGCACACAATCAAACACAATGGATCTACATACCTGCTGCGTTGGAGACGTCTCCTCTGAGTTAGAGCGGTGATTACATGTTGCTGCTGTCTTTTGGTGAAGCTCAGACCTGCTTGTATTTGTAACCATCAAAGTAGACAAAAGTTCAGCAGGTCCGAACTTCAGTGACACCAAAGCTGCACTGAAAATCAGTTTCTTAAAGAGATATTTCAGCATGTTGCCATGTTCATAAGCAGTGTAATCACTACGAAGCAGTCAGACGATAGTTGGAAACAAACCAACAGGTTAGATAAACTTATTTTAACTATAAAACCAACTAACTAGAAAATTATGACCCAAACTGCCTATTGTAAACATGTATACAGACTAGGGCTGCAACTAACGATTTCATTATCTACTAATCTGCTGATTATTTTCACAATTAATCAACTAATCGTTGAGTCTATAATAGCAGCTGTTTCTCACATTTAAGAAGATGAAACCAGCTACTTTTTCACATTTTTGCTTTAAAGAACGAATGAAATGATTAACTGATTATCAAAATAGTTGTCGATTAATTTTCTTACGACAGATTAATCATCTAATTGCCGCAGCTCTATTCCAGACTTGCTTCCTGCTTTGACTTTGCAGATCTGAGATGATGATGATGATGATGATGATAACAATAATAATTATTACTGATAGAAATGATGGACAAAACTATCAAAAATTAAACTGAAGTTGTGATAAATGTTATTTCTCTATAAAAAAAGTCTCAGTATTTGTACATAGACTGTACAAAACATGGACGTTCCTTTTAATGACATCACCCACAGGTTTCCGAAGAGCCGCTGTGAAGCTGTGTGAAGTACCTGAGACGACACCCACCTGTCCCTCAAAGCGACCATGGCCTTAATTAGGCATAACTGTAAGCCGTGATATAATTTTAAAGGGAAATATAGAAATTCACCCCCTGTACAGTTTCCAAGTGGGAAATTAGCTATAGAGACCAAACACGGTGATTTACTGCTGTAAAGTTGGACATTGGTTGGACAGAATTTTTCAGTCCTGGAGGTTGCCGCTTGATAAATACAGAACCAGTTTTCGATGTGTTTGTTCACCGGGGTTCATGCCAGATGAAGAAGCCTGCGAGTCACTAAGGTGGAGATAAACACTGAAACATAACACCAAAAGCAAAACTGCCTCCCAGAACTGTTTCCCACATGGGGAGGACAGAGTTCTGCCGGGCGTGAATCAGTCCGGCTACATGGCTGCACGCTCTACGAAGAACAAAGCCGAATATAAAGCCTTTACTTATCTGTTAGTGTAGAAATCCACCGTGTAGCTCCAGCGTCAGTGGAAGCAGAGAACACATGAAACATGTAAGACACGAACGATGGCGTTTGTTACGGCTCGTTATGGTCCCGTCATCCTGTCAGCAGCTCTGAGCGCTCGATAGCCTGACATCACAGCCGCAGCTAACCACTAATCTGTAAACTACACGGGCGGATTGTGGTTTCCTGCAGAGCTGAGTGTTGGTAGGAGAGAGTTTATCTAGCTGCTGTGGATCTACGCCAACATCAGCAGGGTTTGATAAATGTGGACAGAGTGATGTAAGACCACCCAGGTGGAAGTTCAGGCACATTTAGAGCAATTTAAAGTTTAAATCAAAGGGTCTGATGGGACATCAACACCACAACAAACAGCGGAACCTTCAAGTGATGTCACCAGGGTTTTCCACTCGGACTTGCTCGGCTCCGTGGTCTGTGGTTAGTGCTGAACTCTCTTCACACAGCAGGACGCCCTCACTGATCTCTGTAGTCACTGTGATTTTGTTCTGTGTGTGGTGAAAATAATAATAATTTTTATCAGGAAAAGAGAAAGCAGCTTAGAACCACAGACCTGGACCTTTTTCAAGAATTTCCTTCTGGGAGTAGAACCACACTAGTACCTGATGAGATCAAAACATCTTGACCTGGTACTTGTTGGGCTTGACTTGCCATTTATTATTTATTATTGGCATTTTACTGCAAATAACTGATTATTTTCATTGTCGATTTAATCTGTGGATTTTTTTCTCGTTATGTCCACAAAGTTGTGAAAAAAACGTCATGTCTTCTCTTGACCACAACCCAAAGATATTCAGTTTATTACCACAGAGGAGGAATGAAACCAGAAAATATTCATGTTTAAGAAGATGGAATCAGATAATTTGTCCATTTATTTCATTAAAGAAAGGACTCAAAGCGATTAATCGATTATCAAAATAGTTGCTGATTAATTTAATATTTAACTTATCAATTAATCGACTAATCATTGCAGCTATATTGGGGTGGCGATGGCGCCTCACTATGCCTTTGGTGTGAGAGACCCGGGTTCAATCCCCCACTCTGACCCATTCACCAATGTGTCCCTGAGCAAGACACCTCTGACATGTACAGCAATTGTAAGTCACTTTGGATAAAAGCGTCAGCTAAATGAATTAATGTAAATGTCTATTGTTGTCTTTGACTTGGGATGTGACTTGAGACTCGTCTCAGGACTTGTTGAACTACCTGAGACTTAAGATTTACAATTTATTATTTGTGGCTGAAACACTTTGTCCAGGGTCTGAACACGACTTTACAAATTCTGCACTGTTGTTTCTTGTTCCTTATCAACCAACAAATATATCAACACGATATGCAACATGTCCTCATAACTAAAGGACAGAAAAGGTTGATTTCCACTGACTCCCAAAATGACGTTTGACTGTTGGAAAGTAGCAGCGACAGGCGTGCTGGACCTTTTTATTACGTAACGTAAGTCACAGATCTATTTTCTTGTAGCTAAAACAGAAGATTAGTTTGACATACGTACACTGTATTATCACACAGGTGAAACACGGTGTTCGTTGGGATGGACTGTCCACAGTCTCTGCTGCATGTCTGTTTTGCCAAAAACAAAATTCCTCTTGTGGAACTGCGAAAACTTTCTGCAGCCTGCAGCTAAATCTGAACTTGAGTCTAACATTTAAACCAAGTCAGAACCCCCAAACCACCCACTGAAGAAGTGAGGACCAGACAAAATGTCCTCCATCAGTCTCCAGGTTTAAAACTCAAACTCTCGACACCCTCTGCTACAACTATTGTTACTAGTCCTATTGTTATTATAATCATTAACATTATGATTATTATCATTAACACTACTTTAAATATCTGTACCATTTTTCATTTAGTCTATAGCAACATCACCTTTACTGTCTGTACCTCTGTGTGTGTGTATTGTGTAGTCTCTCTCTCTCGCTCTCTCTCGCTCTCGCTCTCTCGCTCTCTCTCGCTCTCTCTCTCTTTCTCTCTCTCGCTCTCTCTCTGTGTGTATTGTGTAGTCTCTCGCTCGCTCTCGCTCTCGCTCTCTCTCTGTGTGTGTGTGAGACTCCTGCTCTTATTATTTTATTATAGTCTTGGTGACGTCGAGCTCAGAGTTTGGATGGTGTGTGAATGTTGGAGAGAGTGTCCTCAAACCACAATAACACTCTCAGACACTCTCTCTGGCTCTGGTCTGTCTGTCATTCGATAGCGGTGAGAGCGACAGTGGCCTTAAGAGACAAAGAGTTTCAGAGTGGAGCTGAAATAATGGGGGACACACTGAGTGTGTGAGTCTTCAGGATGTTTCAGCGACGCCTGCAGCTTCTGTTTCTGTTGGTTCTCTTTTAAAAGCTGTTGATTTTAAAACTTCTGTTGGGAGTTAAAATAATAGATACGTTCTTTAAAGTCGGGGTGGGTAACGTTTGAGAACCAGTGAGAGACCGCTTGGGTTTGAAAGCATCCATCCCTTCATGCCTCCCTCCAAAGCCACTCACTCACCTCTCACTCGTTCTTGTGCAACTAGCTCGCTACTTTCAGCAGCTTGTCTGCCCAGCCTTGTGTAAGACTCGATGAGCGCAGTGAGCGCACGGGCCGGTAGGCCAGCCATGGTTGGCCATGCTGATCACAGTCCTGCCATGGCCACAGCTGATTTTTTTTTGCTTCCAATATAAACTATCGCAGCTTTAATATGTTTTGTTAACGCTGAAACTTAAAGTTTTTTAGGACCAATGAAGGAAATTAGATTTTCTTGCTGAGTTGCCCATCATGGATTCTGATTTAATCAACTTCATTCATCAATTTCATTGAATTGGGAGATCAGTGCTTTACTGTTTTTACCGTATTGACCATGTGGCACCTTTTTTAAAAAGGCAAAAGTTTCATAACAGTACATTGTTTAAATAATATTCAAAATATCCAATTCATAAAAACCTCAAACAACAAAAGCAGCAAATCTCTCACACTTCAGAAGCTGTTTGGGATTTTCACTCGCTGATTGATTTTTCTCTCTGTGTGCAGAGGTCGTACACGCTGATCGTGGAAGCCTTGGACTTCAACAACGACTCTTCCTCTGGCAGTGAGTATCACCATCATCATCGTCGTTCATCCTCTGCTCTGTTTAGTTTCCCTCCTACTGAATCTAACCCGGTCCCTGACCTGAGAGCTGCACAGGCAAACAAAGGTGAATCCAGAAAGACATCACTTCTGCGTGAAAAGTGACTGCAAAGGAGACGATCAGCTTCACTTTGTTCAAATGCTGAAAGAAACTGTTGGTTTGAAAAAAGTCATAAAGTTGAGTGATGGATTTGAGGACTTTGATGTATGTGTTTTAGACCAGTAGGAGTCAAGACAGACGATAGAACAGTTATAACAGTTATATTTATGCCTCAGCTCTGAACATGTAATGAGACGTTTGAGCGCAGTGTTATTTTGCAAGAAATTAAATGTATGTTAATTGCAAAACTCAGTTTATGTTTTTATCACAGCACTAAACCCCCCCTTTGCAACAGCCTGTGGAGAGGTTTACATACCCTTGATGAGTCCCATTCAGAAATCTGGCTGTAGAGAGAGTGTGAGGAGAGTTTAGTCTAACCGGTCAGCCAGGCAGTCGGAGCGAGAGTGCTGGCTCGGTGCTGTATTTGGCGCCCCGCAGGGAACCATTATAGACCCGGTGTGAAGTAGGTCGACCTCAGCCCAGGTGGGATTCAGTACAGGCAGCTAGGAAGGGGAGTGGGGGTGGGGGGGTCATTTGAGTTTTAATCCAAACATGGAACCAGAAATATGCCACCTGCCAGTTAAAGTTGAAATGCTGAAATGACTGAGATTCGTAGGGTTTGTTCAGAAACTTTCAGCATACAGGCGGAGCTGAAGGGTTGAAGCTGTAACTGCCGTCAAGCCAAATGAGCACAGAACAAATATTGACCGTCCCAGTTTAGCAGCGCTACAGACGCATGGCTGAAACGAACGCCTGCATCACTCTGTTACTGCGGTTCAGCTCAGGCTGCAGCCAGCCTCCACGGACTGCTGGAGGGTTGCAGCATGATTATTTTGCTCATTATGATTACTATGGTTATAAACTGAGGGTTTCATGATTTTGATTCTATATTAGGGCTGGACAATAAAACAATAACAATAATTATCGCAATATAATTTTTTTCAATAACAATATAACAAATGTTAAAAAAACATTTGTTTTTATTCACTTGAATCAACATGAATTAGGACTTAATTTTTTATTAAGGTGTTTATTTTGTTGAGGAAAAAGGACTGAGAAAAAGCTTTTACTTAATTTTACTCATGCATATTTGTTGACAAAGATTTTATCATAATTGTTTTAAATGTTCTGCCTCAGATTTGTGAAGTGATCCACTGTTTGGCCTCAAGTGTTGACCATAAAGAAGAGTTTAAAACACAATCATCCATCAGGTTTCTTCAGCTTTCACTCAGGAGCAAAAATCAGCCATTAAACTAGAAAGAAATAACGATTTGATACTTATCGTGATAATTATCGATAGCACAAGAAATGAAACTTTTTATCGTGGTAGCATTTTTGGCCATATAGTCCAGCCCTATTCTAAAGTCCTCCTGTTTACCTGAAGTCAACAGTGGGGTAACATTTTGCCTTCCTTGTGAGTTTTGTCAACCATGCGTCATTGACAGAAAAACTATAGTTTGCAGGCTGTGCTACACACAGGTACCACCGGGGAGGAAAGTAAAGCTGTTGGAAAGTAAAGTTTATTATTACATTTAAATGAAAAACAAATTTGGCAGTTATGTCACAATTAATACCATAAAAAAGAATCTGAAAAGTGTCTATGACAGTTCACAAAACAAATGATTGGTTGATCTTTACAAACCAAGACTCGGTGGTCTAACAGTGGCGTAGCCGTCAGTGCTGAAAACAAAGTTTTAAATCAAATAGAGGATTTGGAGAATGGTGACAGCCCTATTAGGGGGTTTGGGTTTGGGATCAGTGTTTCAACCAGCAGAGAAGAAGAAGCTGTGAAAAAGCCGCGGTACACGAGCTGCTCAACGGCAGACAGCCGGGAGACTCAGTCAGAGAGCAGCTGGTGAACATAGTGCAGTGTTTAGCAGCTAAACAGCCAGATGTTTCCCTCTGGAGCTGGTGGAGACCAAACACAGAGCTAACAGAGAGAGAACACTGGACTTCACCAGGTGACACATGATGCACAAGACTATGCCTTTGGTGTGAGAGACCCGAGTTCAATCCCCCACTGTGACCCATCTACCATTGTCCCTGAGCAAGACACCATTTATACTCCTGCGCAGGGTCTACGTGCGTACCTACGCCGTTACACTTTACCCCTAGTTGCTCCAGAGGCGTACGACATATGTAGCAATTGTAAGTTGCTTTGGATAAAAGCGTCAGCTAAATGAATAAATGTAAATGCATCGTGTTGCTCTGTAGCTGCTGGAGGAGGAAACAAGCTGCTGTTGGCCGACATGTTAGACGCCACTACTTATCAGCTTGTTCTGCTGCTGCCAAAACATTTAAAAAAGCAGCTTTAATATTCAAGTGTCAACATGTTGACAGACATCTGCCGGGGTCGAGACGCTCTCCACTGCTGTCTGTAATAAAGGCAGAAATCAGTATATTTATGCTCCAGTAACAAAGATGGCAGTGAACCTGAACTCCAGGCCTCAGATTGGCCCTTCAGAAACATGTAGAAGAGTCCAGTGTTTGGAGATTCAGTTGCAGCTCTCAGCAGGCGTTGGCTCTTGAGCTGAGGAGGTATTCATCAATAAAGTGCCAGGTTTGAATATTTGCTCAGATACCCTGGATGGAGTGGATCCAGCCTTTTGGGAGGTTAACAATTTTTCAAATCTGCTACCTCGGTGCCATTTTCAGCACCTTTTTTATTCCCCATCCTGATGTGAAGTGTCACAGTTTGCTTCCAGGTCGATGGTGTTACCCGCTCGCATTCACGCTGACTTTCTTTTCAGCTCCTTCAGTCTCGCTGCTCGTCGGTTAAACGTACGGCGTCACCTCAGCCCGAGCACACTTTCCACCCTGCCGGTGAAATACCACAGAGCAGCTCAGCATTTTCATTCTCTCTGGAATATTACAGCAGCCAGCCTCCGTCTGCAGCTACAACTACCTCTGTTCTCACAAACCCTCACTCCTCACAAACCCTCGGCCCTGGATGTTTTTTTTACTTTGAAGCAGCTGCACACACACAACTAAACATGTTCATCCCGCCTCGTCTGTGTTTTTCTGTCTGACTAATCCGTTGTGTTTACAGGCGTCGGTGGGTCGGTGATTGAGAAAGCCGTGCACTCAGGGATGATCAACCCCAGCCGGCAGTGGCAGAGCCTGAAGCACAACGGCCCCGTGGCTCAGTTCCACTTTCAGGTCCGCCTGGGCTGCGACGAGCACTACTACGGCTTCGGCTGCAACAAGTTCTGCCGCCCGCGAGACGACTTCTTCGGCCACTACGAGTGCGACCACAACGGCAACAAGACGTGCCTGGAGGGCTGGGCCGGTCCGGACTGCAACACTGGTGAGAAGGTTTTATTTATTATTATTATTATAATAACAGTATTTTGGTGATTCTGCCTGTTTGAGCTCAATTAACTTTTGTATAGTCCCCAAATCCCATAATCTTTATTTATTTTCCTTCCTTCCAGGCATATTCAAAACAAACTTTTAGTTACAATTCAACAACACGGAAAACGACACAAAGTCTTTGGGAACAAAACCATAAATCAGTTTCATATACTCGAGAGCCGTCTCTCTGTGGCTCCACTTTAGACTAACATTAATCACCATCAGGCATCGTGGAAACCGTCTTTCTAACCAAAACAAATTTCAGTTTTGAGCTGACGCACCTGATTAAACCACAGATGTATTAATAGTTCACTTGGCTTATATGCCAAAAAAAACTCTGCAGGCTTCCTCATTTGAGGGCCCGTCGAGCATGCTCAGTAGAGTCTTTCTCCAGTCGAGAGAGACTTTCAGAGCAGACTTCAGAATCAGAAAGCTTTATTGTCAACGAGATTTTAGTGCAACTCCCCACAATCTGGAATCAATAAAGATAAAAGATATAAAGGTAAACAATAAAAGAATCGACGTTCGGGTAAAAACTAGAATCAGCAGTAGTGAAAGGATACTGCACAGTTAATGTCAAAAAAAATAAACCGCCACAGAAAGACTTGTAAATATGCATCAAACAGATCCACTGTTTTTTTTCCCAATCTTTAGTCTCCAGTTTAATCTTCGTGTGCAAGTTTTCTTTGTTCATTCTCCCTACAAAAGGTTCTAAAAACAGAATTACAAAATCAACGTCCAGATCTGAAACATGCGGAGAAAGATGATCCATCACAGTCAGCCTGTAGTTTCTACAGTTAAGCCAAGAGCCGGGGCTGTCTCTAAAAACTTTGTTCAGATGCTTCTGGGAATCTCAAGACATCCATGATGGCAGAGTTGGCTGCTGAAAGAAATTAGAAAATTCTTATTATTCTTTTGGCAGCATCCATGTTTGCTTAAATGTCTGTCTCTCTCTCTCTCTTTGCAGCAATCTGCAGACAGGGCTGTAGTACAGAACACGGATCCTGTAAAGTTCCTGGAGAGTGCAAGTGAGAACCAACATACACAAAAACACAAGCAGCACACTGTTAATGGGCTTTTTGTCTGTAGTTTTTATTTATTTTTTTCAAGACATGCTCAGGCAGGAAAAGACATATTCCATATAGGTCAAATTACAAAATCAATTAAAAATAAAATGAAAAAAGAAGACATCCAAAAATAAGTAACAAAGAAAGCTATTCTGAATCATCTGCCGTTGCACCCCCCCCCCCCCAAAATAAAATGTTTGACTTTAATAATTATTTAGTTAGGACAGATGTAGTTGAAAATCTGAGTATTATTTTCATATAATATCCAGGAGAAGGTGCCAATATAGAGTCTGACATTTCATCTAACCTTAATATTATAAAATTTGAAACCGTGATTTCTTATTTATGTTGTTAATTGTCTTCCAATTACTTGCTATAGCTCTTTTTGAACTCATAAATCCAACTGACACTCTTTTTTTTTTTTTTTTAATTATGGCCAGATTTTATCATCCATATAATTCAAAAGGCATCATTTGGGATCCAATGGGATATTTATTTTAGTGATCTTAGATAACATGGCACTGTTTCCTTCCAAAATATTTGAAGATTTGAACATTTCCATATCATTTTTCATCACTTTTTGTCTGTATTTGACGCTGATAGTAATGATAAAGACAGTAAACATGACCAACAACACAAACAAACAACAACATAATCAGAATCAGAAATACTTTATTGATCTCCGAGGGGAAATACTTGTCACAGATGCTCACATTGCACATGAAAGTATAAAGAAATAGAAATAATAATAGAAAGTTGGTAAATAGAATATATAGATAAATATGAAAATATTAATAAGTGTGGAAAATGTACAGTATTTTACAGTAGGTCATGTGACATAAGTGCAATGCCAAATAAATATTAATTGTAGTATTAATAATGAGTACAATTACACATATGTACTGTAGATATATAAATGCAGAACATTATGTACTTTGTCACAATATTATGTCTATGTCCCAATACAACAACAACAAAATATTTATCTCATAGCTGAAACTTTATTCTCATTAAATGATGGTATTATTCCCTCCAGTAGTCGCCCTTATTCTTCATCGGAATGTACTCAGGCTGGGTTTTTCAATCAGTATACAAGAAATTAAAGTTTTCTACTAAAAGATGATGACTTCATGACTACACACATAGATTTATAGTAACTGTGACTGTGTGTGTCTCAGGTGTCTGTATGGCTGGCAGGGGGAGTACTGTGATCAGTGCATCCCTCATCCCGGCTGTGTTCACGGCAGCTGTGTGGAGCCCTGGCAGTGTCTCTGTGACACCAACTTTGGTGGACAGCTGTGTGACAAAGGTACACAAACACACTTTAACATAGACTTAAGCTGCGTTTCAACCAAAGGAACTAAACCCCGGAACTAGAAACCTTTGGAGGAACTCACTGTTTTTCCACCAGAGGGACCAGGGTCTAAATGTAGTTCTAGGGTCTTCATAGTACCCGCCTTTCGTCCCTGCTCGGGGGGTAGTACTTCCCGAAAGTACCGGTACTTTGGGGGGGTGGGGCAGCCAGCGTGCAGCGGTGTGTTTACAGCGAACAGCTGATGGGGTTACGCTAAATACTGGGTCTGGAGTTGTTGTTTTAAGTTTTCATCAGTAATGAGGTTTCTGCACGGAGCTGAAGTCGGTCTCCTCCTCTCCAAAACAAGCGGAACAGCTGATTACAGCAGGTAATAAAGCTCGTTAAACTTCCCGTTCCTCTGACGCTCAGGCGACACAGCTGATCTGCAGCTCTTGTCGCTGGAAATGTTTTAATAACCTTATAAACTGTGTTTCTTTGTACTGGAGTTAATTTACGTGGTTGCATTGTCCAGTTTGTTATTAAATGTGTAACAAATTGTATCATTATGTTTTCTGTCCATACTAGAAGGAGAATGAGTATCTGCTGCTGAGCTGTGTAGATCTTAACACCATCTTATTTGAACAAAGCACAGGTTGTTCTGTGAACTCCTGTTGCCGACTCTGCAGAAAGTCAAAGTTTGTTTTCCCGTCTTTGTCCTGCAGATCTGAACACTTGTGCGACGCTGCAGCCGTGTTTGAACGGAGGAACCTGCAGCAACACGGGGCCTGACAAATACCACTGCTCCTGTCCTGACGGCTTCTCTGGGGTCAGCTGTCAGAGAGGTGAGAGGGTTCATGGTTCGATTCCCTGATGGCCATGAAAATCCCTGTAAACACCCTCAACTCAGATCTCATATCTAAACTTAATTTTTCATAAAAAACGTGCTTGTACATGAATATGTCATGCAGAACTAAAACATAAAGGGAGTGAAAACTGGAGCTAAAAAGGAAAAGGTTGAAAAGTCTCGTCTTAAAGAGTAAATAAATCTTCGCTGTCAGGATCCTAAATGAACCATCTCTGTCCCGTCTGTCTCAGCCGACCATGCCTGCCTGTCCAACCCCTGTCTGAACGGAGGAAGCTGTGGAGAAACCAGTCTGGGTTTTGAGTGCCGCTGTGCCCCTGGATGGACCGGACCCTCCTGCTCCATCAGTAAGACCTGCTGAAAAGCTTTCCTCTTTGAACCTTTGTGTTTCCACTGAAGCTCCATGAGCTGGTGGACTTAGTTTTTCTGTCTCTCTCAGATGTGGACGAGTGTCTGGAGAACCCCTGCAGTAATGGAGGAACCTGTCAGGACCTGGTTAATGGTTTCAAGTGTACCTGTCCTCCTCAGTGGACCGGAAAGACCTGCCTTATCGGTCAGTGCTCCTTTAACTCAGAACCAATTCAATTTTATTTATATTGCGCCTAATCACAACAACAGTTATCTCACAGCGCTTTTCATAAAAGAGCAGGTATAGACCGTACTCTATACCAGAACTGTGTTGCTCGGCTCTTCTTGAGAACATTTAAAATTAGTGGTGGAGGTTTGAGAGACTGTTTAGGAAACTTTTTGGTGTCTCTATTGAAGTTATGATTCATCTCTTCCAATGTGGAGATTCTCATCAGTTTTATGTACAAACAGATCCATTTCCTCATCTGAAGCCATGTTCAAACTTTTCCTTGGGCGTTGTCAGTCCGGCAGGTCGGAGCACCGTCCTTGGCCTCCTCCCGCTGGGACTCCTGAATTTTTTTTCCCTAATCTCCAGGATGGTCCCTGGAGGAGCGGTTGTGGTTTGGAGGGCTTAGTGCCTCGGATCGCCTCACCACAGCACTAATCCACCGCTAACCACCAGCCAAATACTCCTCAACCTTTCTTTGTGGCTGGTTAGTTTGGTCTGCCAGGCCTCCTTTTGGAGTCTGTTTCCCACTGCTGAATGAGTTTAGGCTTTCACTTGGTGCTCCTACCATCAGACCCAAAGCTAGACTCATAAAAGCAACTGAGGACTCCAAATTAACGCTCTTTACATTTCATTACTCCAGTGACTCAGGAATGATATTTATCCCATTTGTTGTCAGGGGGCTGTTACTCCTGACCTTTGACATCTGAATCCCTGGTTGTTCATTGACTGGTTAAATGACATGAAAGCTAAATAGCCACGATAAGCTACTGGTCGTACGGGACCGAGTAAGGCTTGAGCAACCAAACCCCTACAGGTGTTGTGGTATTTAAAGTGGTTTTAAAGTTTAAAGTTTCAAGGTTGTGGCTGATAGGAATGTCATCAGTTCTGCAGGTACAAGTGTTGGACACATTAACATTTGACCTGATGATGGTGCTAGATGGAAAGTCGGAGCATCACCAAAGTTATTAAAGTCCATCCTGAGGGGAACGTGAAGGTCTGGACCACATTTCTATCCAATAGTTGTTGAGACATTTCAGTCTGGACCTGGAAAGCAGTGGAGCCACCGGAATTGCCACCCATATAGCCATACTGCCAACATAGCTTAAAATACAACCACTTCCAACTCAAAGAACATCCCCAATCTCCCATGTCCACCCAAAAACCAAAATAAGAGCAGGTCAACGACCACAATACAAGGTGGCTTTTATAGAAATATGTTTCCATCCTGTAACTCTGTCGCCTGTTCCTGAAGAGGAGACACCCCCAAAAAACAGATCTGCAAACCTGTGACATTCAGAATTGTTGTCTTTTTGTGGCGTCCCTCGTCTTTCAGACTGAGTCAGTACTGGCTGCTGCCTTACTGCTGTAAAGATTTAACGTTTAGCATCCAATGAGCCTCACCCTTAAATCTGTCTGTCGAATTATTCACCCAAATCTCATTCCCAAACACATTTCAGGACTGCAGCAGTTTTATTGCCTTCATATTCCAACATCTTTATGTTGCTTAATGTGAATTTAAGGAACCTAGTTAGCTTTATGCCATGTATCGCTCTGTAAACGCCGTACTTTCTCTCCCTGTAACGTGTTTATTGTTTCAGACGCCAACGAGTGTGACGACGACCCCTGCGTCAATGGCAACTCCTGCCGAAACCTGATTGGAGGATACTTCTGCGAGTGTCTCCCGGGTTGGATGGGCCAGAACTGTGACACCAGTGAGTAAAGATGCTCCAAGGACACAATGATCTGTTTAACGAGGAGGAGATGGTCATAATGCCAGAACATTCAACCCACCAGCAGTCGAAACTGTTTAAAACTTGGGGAGTTTTGGCTCTAAATGATAATTGTCAGATGCATAACTGGGTGTTTCCCTTCGAGCACTGATGTTGTTTAATTAGTTGAATCTGGTAAAGAGTCATCAGTCATTTCTGGTATGTTTTGAGCTGTTTTGCCAAAGGAAATCATCCCCACTTTTTTAAAGAGTCTGACATGTCTTGTGTCCACAGCAGCCTGAAAATGACCTCTAACATATAGAAAACAGGTAGAGAGAGGACGAGAGCAGCAGGTAGTAAAGACAAATGTGACCTAACGAGGAAACTTGAATTGTTTCTGCAGATATCAACGACTGTCGAGGCCAATGTCAGAACGGAGCAACGTGCAAGGTGAGCTTCAGTTGATTCACACACTTTAACGAGCCTTTACTCTCTGCAACACATCCTTTATCTTCACCGGAGCTTTAAACAGCAAATCCTGTGTGTGTGTGTGTGGCCTCCATGACAACCGCAGATCAGATTTCTCAAAACTCTCGTCTCCAAACACAAGACAAACAGTCTGTCCTCGTTCTTTTCAAATGCTGATTGCTAGTTTTCTCCTCCTCACAATGGTTTATTGTTTGCAGATACAAGCCAGATTACATTACATTAGCAGCATTATCTGTCAGCGTGCATGTTCAACGCTCACAGCTCAGGTTGATTTACTGCAGAAGTTTTTAAAGTGTGAGGTGGGTAGTTTCAGGGAGGCTCAGTGAACGGAAATGAACAAAATATTATATTAGTTATTACATTAGTTATCAAAAGATACAAAGATACCGTAGTTTTGGGGAAGTTTATTGTCTTTCCCATTTTCCAGGACTCAAAGGATAAAACATCCCTCAGGGCTGACCGCTTTTATGTATTTGGTGGAGTCTGAAGATACGTCAGAATGCAATATTAGGCTGTCTTGGCTCAATTGTTGATTGTCTATCGTAAACAGGATCCCATAGGCATCCAGGAAGTGAGCAAAACTGAGCCAGTAAACAATGGGGGGTGAGGCCCACAGTCTCAGACTTTGAAAACCACTGATTTACAGTATTTATGAAAGCTAAAGTGCAAACCAGCTATAGTGTAAATATCTGTGTGCTGAATTTACCATTTTTAAAACGTGTAATTCCCTAAAAAAGTTATTTTATAGAGTTAGATGTATTTTGACCTCCTTAAACATTGCTGCTTAGTTTGGCAGAAAGCTTAGAGCTTAAAGCAGATGCGAACGTCAGTTTCGGGCTGTTTATTGTTGCCTCCTGGAACATAAATTTTTCTTTCGTCTGAAGGGGGGGTGTTTGAGAACCACTGGTTTAAAGTGACAAATAAATTCTACTTGTACAAGAACATACAAACAAACGCACAATACAGAGTTATAAAGAGCTCTGGCACAGTTAATCTGACCACTACAACTTAAATTTGGCTCATTAGCTCGATGCTAATGGGATTTTGTATTATTATCTTTGAATAAACAGCTCGGACCTGGACATTATTTTGTACGTTAAATATTTAATGGATCGTGTAAAGAGATAAGACTGTCCCAACAGTCGTCTCTTCTTCTTTTGTTTTCGGTTAATGTTGTTAATGTAGTGTTGCATGTTTTAGCCTGTTAGCTAATGGACTATAATTGGATTATAAAGCCAAGATAACTTAATGCATTTCAACATGAACCTATCCCCAAACTCAAGGTGACTTTCAGACTTTTTAATGAGCGCCTGTGTCCAGTTGACTTAAATATAAATATTAACGTGGTCTTCGTTTCTCTCTCATTCAGGACCTGGTGAATGGTTATAAGTGTGTGTGCGCTTCCGGTTTCGGCGGCAACAACTGTGAGAAAGACGTGGACGAGTGCTCCAGCGGGCCGTGCCTCAATGGCGGCCGCTGCCACGACGAGGTCGACGGCTTCCACTGCCTGTGTCCGTCTGGTTTCTCTGGAAGTCGCTGTCAGGTGAAATTACATTAAAAAATGCAATGAGATGCAACTCTTGTTATGAATTAGTGTTATATAAATAAAACTGAATTGAACTGAGCGGTGGCTGAGCTACGCCTGCTTTTACTGGCCCAGTGAACAGAAACAGGAAGTGTTCTTTGTCCACAAACTGATCTTGGGCTTAGACTTCTTTCCGGTGCCATAAATTACTCCAGTGATCAATCACATGAACTAAAAATGAAACTTCATTTGTACAGCTAGGCTAACTTGCTAGCTTATATTGCTGAAGACAGTTTAATGTTGGCTGAAGACGATCTCTCAGAAGTCCTGCAGTAAAAATGTAACAATGCTGCACTAGAAACAAGTTCCACCTACTCTGACGTGTGAGTGAGTAGAGCTGCGCAATAAAACCATTATGGCAATCATCGCAATATGATTGAATTGAACTGCACGGTGCTGCAGTGGTTAGCGCTGTCGCCTCACAGTGTGGAGTTTGCATGTTCTCCCCGTGTCTGTGTGGCTTCCTCCCACCCTCCAAAGACATGCAGGCTAGGTTGATTGGTGACCCTTGTCCTTAGGTGTGGATGTGAATTGTCTATGTGTGGCCCTGCGATGAACTGGGGACCTGTCCAGGGTCTACCCCGCCTTTTGCCCGATGTCAGCTGGGATTGGCTCCAGCCCCCCGCGACCCTGTACGCAGGATAAGCGGTTGATGATGGATGAATTGAATAGACTTTATTAATCCCATAAAATAGGAAAACCTTTCCGAGTCCTTTGACTCCACCAGCACTAGTTTGGTTGTTGTGGCCTGAACAAGCTTCCTCTTCTTGCATTGTTGTCTGTCATTTTGTCCTCTTCGTATTATTTTCTAAGTGCTGTAACTTTGCACCATGTCTTTGTCTGGCTGGTTAAAACTCTGAACAGCTGAAACGTCTGACCCAAATATTGTTTTCCTGGACTGATTAAATAAAGCTTTTAAAAAAGAGATCTTGTATATCAGGGACCTGAAACTGTCTTGCACAGAGGAGCAGCATATTTTACAGATAGTGACAGTTATACTGATGTATTAGCTACTGTTTCTGTCTATCAATGATGTCATCAACATTTGAATCAGTTGACTTGTACTCATGTTATGGTTACCATGGTGATGTGTATACAGGTGTCATAGAAACAGTAAAAGCTGAGAATCGTTTTTCCCCGCTGAAGCTGGATTCTTCTCTCTGCCCACAGTTGGATATCGACTACTGCCTCCACAGTCCGTGTCAGAACGGCGGCGAGTGTTTCAACCTGGTGACCGACTACGTCTGTAAATGTCCCGAAGACTACGAGGGCAAGAACTGCTCACGCCTGAAGGACCACTGCCGCACCACGCCCTGCAAAGGTTCGGGTTCAGTCCATGTTCATCTCATTATTCATTTCTAAAAATCTGTAACTTCTGTGGAAGAAACTGAAATCTTCCTATAAATTCATAGGGAGTTTGGCGCTAATTACAATTATGATGTTCAATCAGTCCGAAAGTGCTTGTTTTTGCCGCTGACAGGCTCGGACTGTAATTAGTCTGACAACATTATGGAAAGGATCCCTGCAGAGAGAGACCTTTTTAAAAGAGTAAGATCCTGTTTGTTTACCCAGAAACAGTCACCATACCGTTCTGGTCAAAGCCACTGGACTCCATTAACATAAACAGTAATTTTACCACTCACTACACTGGACTTGCTGGTCTACCGCTGCCTCGACTGGTTAGTTAGCTTGTTTGATTTTGGTTATGTGATTAAAGGGTTAAAAATGCCAAAGAATACACAGAATGACGCAAACCATCCCACCGATTGAGGCAGTGGTTGACCAGCAACTTTTTTTTCAAACTGTTTTTGTCAGGGGAGTCTGGTGGCTTTGACGAGAGCGATATGGCGACTGTTTCTGGTTAAACTAAAAAGATTTTATTCTTAAAAAGGTCTCTCTCTCTGTAGGGATCCTTTCCATAATGTTGCCACACTCTTATAATCACATAAGAAAGGTTGAAAAATAAGTTGCCCTTTAACTAGTCACCAAGTCCGGCACATGACCTAAAACAATACAAACAAAGAGTCCATCTTCATCTTCCTCCGTCTCCTCCTCCTCTTTCACAGTGATTGACAGCTGCACAGTGGCTGTGGCGTCCAATAGCACACCGGGCGGGGTGCGTTTGATTTCGTCCAACGTGTGCGGCCCCCACGGGCGGTGTCGCAGTCACGCTGGCGGACAGTTCAGCTGCGAGTGTGAGGAGGGATTCACCGGCACGTACTGCCACGAGAGTGAGTACATAAATACTTCTCTAATGAGTTTGCTGTTTCAGACGACATTTATATTTATTTTCTTGTTAAATCAAAATACTCTCGTTAGTAATGTGGGGATGTTTTTGATTTAACTTAAAGGCTGGATTAAAAACGACGTATTTATAAAGTTAAATAAAAATAAAATGTCATCTCCTTCCTTTCTGACTCTCAGATATAAACGACTGTGAGAGCGCCCCCTGTCTGAATGGAGCAACCTGTATCGATAAAGTCAGTCAGTATCAGTGCATCTGTGCTGAAGGCTGGGACGGACCTACCTGCCAGAACAGTGAGTCCTCCTCCTCTTCCTCCCTCTTCATCACGGTGTTGGGCGGACATGTTGGAATGATGTTTTGTTTTTGTCGTGCAGACATCGATGACTGCAGCGCGGCTCCCTGTCAGAACCGCGGCGTCTGTCGGGATCTGGTCAACGACTTCTACTGCGAGTGTAACAACGGCTGGAAGGGAAAGACCTGTCACTCGAGTAAGTCCTGCATGTGTGTGTGTTCGACCACTTTCACTTTGTCTTTTCACACATCAGGTTACCTCAGATTCCAGACACTAACAGGGCTTTTTAGATTTTCTTTACACTTTCTGGGATCTGTTTTTTCTGCCTCCAAAATGGCTGCCTTCATCATACAGAGCACCTTTTACGCAAAGCGCTGAATAGTTTGCCTCTCATTCACCATCATCGGGCTCAGTGAACCCGGGGAGTCCTCATGGTGAGACAGAAAATTGCCACGTGAATGTGTGCGTTGTGTTCCAGGTGTTGAAATGTAGTTCTCTTTATTTCCAGGAGAGAGTCAGTGTGACGAGGCGACCTGTAACAACGGGGGAACCTGCTATGATGAAGTCGACGCCTTCAAGTGTGTGTGCGCTGCAGGCTGGGAGGGGGCCACCTGTAACATCGGTCAGTACCGCAACAGGTCGTACTTTTTAAAACTTCTTCATGTCAGTTTGGAGGCTAACAAGTCGCGTTTGTGACTCCAGCGAAGAACAGCAGCTGTCTGCCGAGTCCCTGCGAGAACGGAGGAACCTGCGTGGTGGACGGAGACTCCTTCAGCTGCGTCTGTAAGGAGGGCTGGGAGGGCGCCACCTGCAGCCAAAGTGAGTCACGGCACCACACCTCACAATGTAAATGAGTGTGGACACATCATTAGATCGGTTAGATCCTCCACAATTCAACAAGCCCCAAAGTCTGAGTCTTATAGATTTACCGCTGTAACCTGCACGGTACAAGAGATGGAAAAAGTGCCAACTCCCTTTGAAGCCTCATTAAGTCCGAACGTGTCCGCTCCTTGATTATTTATCTTCCTTCAGTCTGGAAGGGTCCACACATCAAAAGAATCACAACAGCTTTTCATAAAAATTAATCCTTGTTGTGAATCCTGTCATGTGAAGTCCATCGCTCTCTGTCTGCTAATTTCTGCCACACTTCTCTCATCCTGCTGTTGTTTTCGTTACGTTGCTGCCTTTTTTATACAAGTAGTATTCTGTTTTGAAATAAATAAACTGTTTCATAGTAGCCTGTTTCAGTTTTGTGGCCTGTTCCAAATATAGGCAGGGTCAATTCAGTTATTTTAGCAATATTTCAAAGTTTCAACGGTGACTAATGGGGACAAAAATAAATTGAATCTGGTCCCGTGTTGATCGAGCACGCTGTAGTCACGGGCACGCCCACTAAAGAGCTTGATTTTGCTATTACAGGTGTCTGACAACATTCCCAACAGAGATAAACCTTTCTTTAAATAGCAAGATCCTTTTTTGTTTAACCAGTCAATTCAGTACTCTTGTCAAAGCCACCAGACCCCATTGAGTAAAAACAGTAATTTAACCTTGTTTTTCGTACATCCACTAAAGTCTTTATTTTTATTATGTGTTGTTATTAATAAAAACATTAATTTTACCTCTCTGGTTTGTGTTATTTTGTGACTTTTAAAGGATTAAAGTCACACAATAACGCAAGAAGAAACAGCTGGGGCAGCAGTAGACCAGAGAGATAAAATTCCTGTTTTTATCTGGTGACTTGGATGGGAGCGATATAGTGACTGTTTCTGGTGAAACAAAAAGTCTGTCTTTGTAGGGATCCTTTCCGTCATGTTGTCAGACACTTTGTTTATTAACAATCTGAGCCTGTCAGCGGAAAAATCAAGCTCTTTAGAGGACGTACTTTGACGGTGCACAAAAATTACGTAACAGCCCTGTTTTGCTGCTGCCGACTGCAGCATGCACGCTCAATACTGGACCAGTTAGTCACATAGACACAAAAATATAGAACATTGAGTGGATTCTGGAGGATTTCACATTCTGTGAACGTCACAGGATGTGTGAGTTTTACTGCTTTGTTAAATTTTTGCTTATTTAGCATCAAATGTTTCACATGATGAAAAGCTAAGCGCATGCTTGGTTAATATGCTCTGTAACATTACATGGATGTAACAGTTGGTGTGTTAACAGGCTATCTACATGCATGTTAATGTTAGCAAGTTGCTGGATATATACAGTAAAGGAACGCTATCCAGTCCGGAGTCGGCTGAAGAGATCCAACCCTGCGAGCTGTGAACACAGTGAGTCTAACACGTTTTCTTGTTTATTTTCCAGATGCCAACGACTGCAGTCCTCATCCCTGGTGAGTTAAACACACACAGTCACAGTGAACAGAGTTACCTGACTGCTGCTGTAAACACAAGCACAAAAAAGCCCTTTTCCACTTAAGTTTACTGTTTCTGACTTCTTAAATATAGTCTTTGAATGTTTTTTCCTTTCCTTGGAGGAGCATTTTGTCCGATCTTTAAAGTGATAAACTGTCAGATGCTACATTAAATTCCTCCTCGTCATCTGTCCATTCACCAAATCACATCTGGAACAAAACAACTCCCTGTTTATCTGCTCAGCTCTCCTCTCCAAGCCACAGCCTGAAAACTGCTTTGAAACACACGGATTCTGTCTATAATTTAAGATGAGGGTTAGACATGCGGCTCCAGCTCTGTTAGGTCAGGGTTATTGATTTACAGCTGCAGGGAAATTACGATGAATTCAGATTTTTAACATTTTTTCCTCCCGACCCACACGGGACAACATTCTGTTGTTGTTCTAGTAATAAGAGTCTTGTTGTTGGACACAGTGTCGATATCAACATGCATCTCTGTCCTGCAGTTATAACAGTGGGACCTGTGTCGATGGAGACAACTGGTACCGATGTGAATGTGCTCCGGGGTTTGCTGGCCCAGACTGCAGGATCAGTGAGTGTCGACCTTTGACCCCTTAACCTTGCCTGCACCTGTCCCTCTGCTGCCCTCTCTCTCATTTTCTGCCTCGCTCTTCTTCTCTCGTCTTTACAAAATCCAGTCTCTCTCTGCCTGAGTGCGTTGAAGCTCAGGTCAGCAAGTGTTGGACTGAACATTAAGAGACCGTGTAGCTTAGCACGAGCCTTTACTGAAGACGCATAAATGTGATTCATATTGTTAAAGCTGTCACTTGTCTGCTTTCAGACATCAATGAGTGTCAGTCGTCGCCCTGCTCCTTCGGCTCCACCTGTGTGGATGAAATCAACGGTTACCGCTGCATCTGTCCACCAGGAAGGACCGGGCCCCGCTGCCAAGAAGGTAAAACACAATCTTCACCATTAGCCACTATTCACTGCAAAGCAAACAACAGCACTGATCAATAAAGAAATGTAATGAACTTGTGCTGGGCAGCTGTCGTTTGGTCTTCAACTTTTATTGGATAAATCTGGCTGAGACTGACTGAGAAAACTAGATCCTGATTCAAATCACAAACTAATGTATGGGAAAGCACATTTGGACCACTCTCACTGTGAGCTCTGATGAAACGTGGGTGCTGACGGTGCTCCTGCTGGTTTTGTGCTGCAGCGTCGGGGAGGCCCTGTGTGGTCGGAGGGCTGGTGGCTCTGGACGCAAGCACGTGGGACGAAGACTGCAACAAGTGCCGCTGTCACAACGGGAGAGTCGTCTGCACAAAGGTAGAACTGAGATCTGGATTCATGTGTGCAGAGAACGTGTATGTTTTAATTATGGTCACAATCAGAACAGTTCAGATTGGAGTCACACAGCAAAACTTGTTTCTCTAGAAAACCAGCAGAAAAAGAAAAAGACAACATTTCGATTTTAGTGAAACAATCTCCTTTATTACAGGAAGGTTTTGGTGCTGTGGTTACTTTAGTTAAATGTTTGCAGTAAAGCAGTACTAACACTATAGATTCATCATCTATTAATGTTGCTTTCTGAGATGCACCCCGTTTTATTTGGTTGTTTTGAAGAAGCATGACGTCAAAATGTAGAAAACTCAAATCCATGCAGGATCTAGAGCAGGGTTCTTAACCTTTCTGCCACTCCGAGACTTTTTGAGGTGTAAAATATTTATTGTCTGTTAATACAAATACAAACCTTTGTGTGTGAAATCTGTAAAGTTTCTGCAGCAGCAGTCAGATAAATGTAGCTGAGTAAAAAGTCTTTCCTTCTGAACTGTAAGGAGGAAGTATTATCTGCCCTCCTTCACCTTCTCGTGTCTCTGACAGCTTTGGTGTGGACCTAAACCTTGCAGCCTGCACGGTCAGACTCGCAGCTCCGAGTGTCCAGCCGGGCAGACCTGCGTCGCCGTCCGGGACGAGCGCTGCTTCATCAAGCCCTGCCTCAGCCAGGGGGAGTGCTGGAGCCCCGCCCACCGGGCCCCGCCCACAGCCAGGTGTCACCCGGAGAGCAGCTGCGCCAACGTCACCTTCACCTTCAACAAGGATGTCATGGCAAAGGTCAGTTTGGTCGCCAGGGTCTTTTCCCACCTTTTGAATTCTCTCTGAGCAACTACAAAAATATTAGTTCCATCGGTAGAAAAGGCTTAAAACTGTGGGAGCCATCAGCCTGATCATGATTTACAACAGAGTACATGAATGAGTCGTTCACAGCTGGCGTAGTTACCAGAGGTGAAATGTATTCTTGCTGCGTTGCAAGTCCACGCTGCCACATCTCAGAGGTTTTACTCCACTACATTTATCTGACAGCTTTACTAATTAAGATTTTAACATATAAAATATTTACAGGATTTTGACAGCGTGGTATTAGTACTTTTACTGGAGTAAAGGATCTGAATACTTCCTCCACCACTTGCTATCGTACAGAATATGTGATCCCTTCGTGCTGCTGACGTGGTTCCTCTGGTTTGGTGTTACAGGGTGTGACGGTGGAGCAGGTTTGTCGTGTGCTCAGGAGTCTCTACGTCGTCCAGAATCTGTCCTCCGACTCCTCCGTCTCTATAACCTGCGAGCCGTCGCTCAGCACCGGTAATGAGATCAACGTCGCCATCGTAAGTCCCGTCTGCTCTGAGAATGTGCTGATTATGGAGCTGCGGAGCCGCTGTCGTCAGCTGATCTGATCTGATTAGGATTTCATTAACATTCACCAAAAGTCTGGGATTAGAAAATGGGAAAGAAGCAGGAGTTTGGAGATAAGAGCACAGACGGGGTATAACACTGTCGCTGCCACAACTAGAGAGCTTAAAGTTTCAAACCGCTGCTGCTGCAGCCAGAAAACTTAAATGCATCATGGGCGCCGGATGATTTTTTTGTGGGAATGGAAAAGCTTTCAGGAACTATTGTGTTGCATGAATCAGTGATCAGAGGGAACCAACGGCAGCGTTTGTTTAGACTGAAATGAGTTTTTCTGCTGAATATTTCAGTCGACAGACGACCCGAGGAAAGGTTTGGCCTTCGTCAAGGAAATCACGGACAGAATCATGGACCTGGTCAGCAAGAGGAGCGCCAACAGCACCATCATCAGCGCCATCGCCGAGGTTCGAATCCAGAAACGACAGAGCCACGACGCCAACGGTGAGCCGCTTTACAGCTCTCTGTGTGTTTGAGCAGGGAACTTGTAGTTTGGCAAAATAATCAGGAGCAGATTAGACTTATTGTTTCGATCTCCCCCCACATTCGACCTCTTGTTAGCTGAGACGTGGTTTATAGCTCCGGGAAAAATCTAGGAATTGGCCGTGGAGTGCATGTTCATGTTTTTGTTCGGTGAATGTGTGAGTGATTTTTAAGTCCCACTTCTGACTGATGAATCATGGTTTTTCCTTCTGATTTCAAACATGTAAGATATCCCTGTAGAGTTGGGTTTCCTGTACACTGCTACTTGGCTCCATCAAGAGGGAAAATCCACCTTGTCAGTTCCAGTTTATTGAAGCGATGTAAAAATGAAATCATTGTAGAGGTTAGCGTTGGAGCTGCTTGTTAACCAAGAACAGCTAGGAGCACTGACTGCACACAGCATCTCTGAAGTCCAGTAGCCTAATCCTAAACTACGCTGTAGAATGGATGCTTTTTGGTTCAGTCCCGCTGCCTCGTTTAGAGACAAGCTAACGTTCCTGTAAGGGAATTTACAAAGTCAGCAATCCGGCTCTGTGGTGTCGAATGCAAAATGCTTCCACACATTTACGTCTCAGACGGTTTAGCTGCATGATTATTAGTTCAGCACGAGTTCCCTCCATTTTAGAGAACCCGCTTCCTGGTCGGTCAATGGGGCGCAGTGGGTCAGATGGACTACCATTCGGATGTTTGAATAAGGTGGGAGCTAGGCTAGCAGGCTTTGTGCTAAACTAGACTTTCTTATTGGCTAACGCAGCAAACAAATTCCCATAATGTCAGACAGTTCCTCTACTTTTCCGTCGTGGTTGGTGTTTTTCATGAAGTGTCCTGAGCCGTTCACTGACCTCTGTTTTTCCTCTCCTTCCAGCCGACCACCTCATGCCTTTGCTGGTTTCCGCAGTGATAGTTGTCTGGGTGTTGGCGATCGCCTCCATGTTGCTGTGGTGCGTGAGGAGGCGGAGGAAGCAGAGCACCCACGCGGGGGTCAGCGCGCAGGCGTCCTCTTTGGCGTCCGTGGTTGAGGACAACAACACCCTCCATAACAGTGTCAGCACCGCCCGCGAGCAGCTCAACCACATCAAGAACCCCATCGTGAAAAACCCTGGGATCCACCACCATCAACACCACCACCTCCTCCTCCTCCATCACCACCTCTGCGAGGACAAGAACTCCGTCAACGCCAGGATCAGGAAGTCAGATACTGGGAGCCAATCGGACGAGGACGAGATGGACAAGAGGCTGCAGAAGGCGAGGTTCGCCAGGGCGCCACAGTCGTACTCGCTGGTAGACTGGGAGGAACCACCCCCCCACCATACGACAGGCAAACCCCCACACTGGACAAGCAAACAGGACAACAGGCAGCTGCAGTCACAGAGCGTCAACAGGACGGAGTACATCGTATAACCACCAGGGCTCAGAATGACTGGCTGCCCCCCCCAGGTGGTGGAGGACTTTTGGTCTTTTTTTTTTTTTTTGGTTCAGACTTGATTTTCAAGATGTTTTCTTGCTGTTTAATTTATGTTTTGACTGACACTGGTCTGACCGGTCCACGGCGGTTGGCTGGATCTTCGGTTTCGTGGACCCCGTTTTTTGTTAACGACGAGAAATTTGGACACGCAGGAGCCTCACGTGCACTACCAGCATCTTTCATTCAAGAATGAGTTTTGCGTTTGAATGCGGATGGATCTGGAAAGAATTTATTTATTTTGGGTTTTTTTGGGGGAGAAATTTCAGCGAAATATGAAGAATCGTCCGTGTTGAATGTTTCTGTACAGATGTGTAAATAATGTTTTAATTAATCAATGTATATTTGATTTATTAACTTAACGTCAGGAGCCTTAAGATATTCTTTTTTTATTTTTTTTATTTTTTTTATTTATGAGTATTGTTTAGAGTTGAAGGTTTGTAAGCTCACGATTTCTTTTTGATAAAACGCCAAAAGTGTTCTTGAAAGAATAGTTTATTTTTAGCCTTTTGGATTTGGGCATTTTTGTGCCTCAACTTAAATGTTTTGTACATTGTCTGTTGTTCCATGACGTTCTATTGGGATGTTCTCCAGGATGTTCTGTTGTATTTACTTTAATTGTAAATGAAGAGGAGAGGCGGGTGAGAGCTGGGGGTTTGGTTTAGCTGCTGCAGGGTTTTACACAAACCAACATGGTGGCAGACATTTTGCTTTTGCTACTGAAAACAAATTCTTCAAGGGACGCAACTTTTTTTTGTAGTACTTTTTGTATTTTGTACCGTGTATAAATATGCTTTGGATCCTGATTCCATGTTTGTAACAATCTGAATGATCAAACCTACGTCATTAAAAGCATAATGAGTAGGATTTTCCTAAAAAAGAAAACGTGTACAAAAAGAATCTCAGTCTTTATCAGATGGCGCCTTTCTACTCTTCCGACCACTGAAAGCGCTTTACACCACATGTCACATTCAAATACACTGATGGCCGATGGCATCAGGCTGTATTACAACTCAAAAATTTCTGGACTGAACGCTTCTCAGAGTCCGAGTTCCTACTTGTGAACTCGGGGCAAATCCATCTCCCTCAACTTCAAGAGGCAGCGGAGTCTGACGGCACACAGCAAAGGCTGCACCATGGAAGCATGTAATGTAAACCATCAACTAATAAGCAACATTAAGTATATTTCCCTGGATTTCATTAAAATACTACATACCTTAATGGATGTCAACATCCAGTGTTATCAGGTAGCTGGTTACATTAAAAACCTCTGAAAGTCGTCATCTCTGCACAAGAGATATCGAGGAAAGTGTTACAAATGTGAAAACATTAGGTAATAGACAACCTTTACAGACTTTTACACATTACCAACAGATGTAGCTAGACGGGAACACAGTTAACATATATTTATGTCACTCGTTTTCATAAAATGGCTCATTTGAATTTATGTTAAGGTCACTGCTGAGAGTTCAATTGTGTGTACACTTGACAAAGAAAGATCAGTCTGTCACGGTCAGCCATATTGTTTTGTTCCAGTTTAGTGTTGTGCACTTTCAACTGTGACTGGAAAGCAGCATAATCCCATTCGCACGCAGATGGCACTGTAGGGAGGGGCTTAGGTATTTTGCCCAAGGACACTTCTACATGCAGGAGGAGCTGGGGATCAAACCTGTATCAGTGAGGTCTAACGAGGTGAATTTTCTTCCACATAAAACATTTGCAAAGCCGATTTTTAAAAAGTTGAAAATTTTAAATTGTAGGCGACTTCTTTCCTGCCTTTGCGGACACGTTGCTGCGTTTCTTCAGAAGTTAGCGGCACCTGCTGATCAGTGGAATAGTGGGACGCCATGTGCAGGAATTTATTTTCTTGTGTGAGCAAACAAAACTCTGTACTAGCAGTCTGAAACTCCACAGGGAACCTTCACCTTATGAAAAATCTTGATCTTTTTTATATTTTTGGAGATTTTGGTTATATATATGTGGTATTACACAGGTGGCTAAAATATCTTGATAACGAACCCATTACTGTGATCCAGTTGACCCTGACCGTTCGATAGAAACAATGCTCATATCATTCAACCATTGAGAGTCTATTCAAGGATCAAAAAACTGCAAGAAATACAAACCGGGGTGTATATGTTTTTTATCTTTAGCACTGTTTGCCACGCTTACCCGACGTGGCAAACTGGAACGTCTCTATGAATGTAATGACTTGCATCGTTTGTAGTTGCAGGCTAGTTTGCAATGTGCTAATTGTCTAGATGTAAGCTAGGAGCACATATAGTGAACTTTAAAATGTGACTTAATTTAGAACATAGTCCAGCAGTTAAAACCTCCAGAGACACACAAGATCATGTAGGTTCTTGGTCCAGTGCAGAAAAGCAGCTCTCTGAGCTATCACAGAGAATAATTAGATCTGCACTGTGGCTCAGTTTGCATTCTTCCTCTTTTCTTCAGCCGAAGCTCCGACGGTAGGACCACAGCAGGCTGGATGTCACACAGCAGGCCTGAAGTAAGAGCAGCTCCTCGCTGCTGTAAGCGGGTCACCTGTTGCCGTTATCAGGCTGTAATGCGAGGCCATTGCAGCTCAACCATAGCATTGCATACGATGGCGATCACTGAAACTTATGATCATGTTTGAGCAGGATCTAGGATGACTAACTTAAACATTTAAAGGAGATGTGGTGCGCCAGAGCAGTCTGTGCTGTCGCAGCAGAGCATGCACCAGTCGGGTTCCAGTGCGTTCACACTGACAGCTGCGGCAAAATGCAGTGCACCACGAGTACCCTGATGGTGGAACAGGTTGGTTTTTACCCACTGAGCTCTACTGTTCTGCTGCAGATAGGACATCCGGATATTTATTTGATTCATTTGGCGGTAAGGCTCTGTCCGGTTGCAATTAGCCATTAAAACGAAGAATATGCGGTCAAATGCTGTGTCATTGTCATTTTACACTAAGTGCACCGCCGTGTGTACAGTGGACTACAGTGAAGTGTACTAACAGCAGGATCTGAACTGAGACAGCTCTGGAGTTCAGCTTGCTTTATTGGAAGTACTTCAGAAAAGAGAAAAACTCAAAATGAAGTCTTCATGGATAAACAGGCTAACCGCTGACGTCTGGACAATGTCGGCTAACACGGAGCTCCTGCTGTCCCTGAGTCACTGATGCCCTTCCAGAAATTTGGAGCCCTTGTTGAAAAGAAGAGTCTTTTCTGTAATTTCATGTGTTTGGTTGATGTGGGCCAAGGGCTTCGGATTGTTGCTCTTTTGACCCAAACATCTCTCCTAACAAGGGCATTTATCAGAGGTTGCTTCGTCTTTCAAGCCGTCCTCTGGTTTTCATCTGTTTCACACGCGTTTATAAAGAGAACACAATGATAAACAACATTTTGAATAAAGGCTTTTCCTTCAGGAATATTTCCCCGATACCCAAACGTTCCGTGCTCCTCTTCAGTTGTGGTCGGCTCGGAGGGGAAGGCTGTGTTTATGTGCATTCTTCTGAAGTTGTGCAAACAGAGGACGAGGGGAATCCGAATCAAAAGATTTTTTTGTGGCCGGTTACGACATGATGCCAATCCCCTCCCTGTTTGTAAAACCCTCTCATCCCCTTCCTCTCGCTCTAACATTATGGTCTCGCCTCTGTCCAGACCACAACGCCACTCTCAGACTCCAACGGTCACGTTCTTCCTAAAAAATCAAATTCAGAAGAAAATCCTTTTTGTACTGTCTAATGTTTAGTTCAAATCATATTTGTTCTACAATCCTGTTGACAACATTTCTACAATTGAAATGTCAGTGCAGCTGCTGGATTGACTTCATTTAACCGGCAAACTCAAACATGTCCAATGACCTGGCTCAAAAGGCCGCAACAAAAGGGAGACACACCATGGTAAAAGTTTAACAAAATATGTTCATTAAACCAAAATTAACCAAATTAAGGCTGGTGCAAAGGAAAAGTGAACAAGTATGGGGTATGAACATCAGTGGTTTCAGTCGGGTCAGGATGATGGATGCATGGAAAATGTGTGTGAGGGTGTCGTAATGTGCAAGAAATAATAATAACTATCAACTAAAACAACATATCCAGAAACCAAGGCGAAGGTGGAACCTGTGGAGCGAAACAGAGGATGGCAAGTTAGCTGAGAGGTCTGTTCGTCCTCAGCCCAGCAGCGACCTCCCCCTAAGGATGAGAATAAAATGTTAACTACTCTAGAGGGCAATTAGCCCAGGTGCCCAAAGTTACTGCAATCAGCTCTTCCTCTACAAGGAAGAGAGAGAGGCCACACCCACACATGACCTCACAGGGCGTCACAGATACATAGATAATCCATCACAGTATGCATTTATGTGAATTATAATGCGGCAGGGAACGAGTGTTAAACTGAAGTGTGCGTGAATCACCACACAACGATAATGTCTTTAACAAAAGCAGGACTAAGTCAGATCTCCTGCCAGAGTCTCAGAGAGGCTGCAGCAGAGCTCATTGCAAGAGTTTGAATTAAAAAAATAGCTCATGAAATCTGAACCCTCTATTTCAGTCTAAAATTACTTTTTATTGTCTGAGAAGGCTGTGACCTGAAAACGAGATGAACAGCAGAAGAAATTAAATGTTGATTAAATGTATCCGAATCGTTGAGATAACAGCTGGACTACGAGCTGCTATATGCGTAAAATAATCAGAATCCTTTATTGATCCCCGAGGGGAAAATCTTTAGGAGACTCCAATTACTATCGATCCACCACAGAGTCCACACGAGGCTCAGGATGTTTAAAGCACTGGAGGTCCAAGAAGCCCCTAATATTAAAAAGCAATGGTGGACAAAATATTCAGATCCTTTACTTTAGAAAAAAGAACTAATATCACACTTTAAAACTACTCGGTTACAAGTAAAAGTACTGCAAATGTGTTAAAAGTATTAAAAGTTAAAATACTCAGTGCAGAAAGAAAAATGTTCCCTGTGATTATTCATATTAGATCATTATTATTCCTCATGCATTCATGTAAAAGCAGGATTTTACTTTTATTTCATTTTTAACAATTTTGTACCATTTAATGATTATTTTCATTCTGGATTAATCTGCTGATTATTTTCTCCATTAAATCGATTTTGAAAACATTGTGTGAAATGCCGTCACAGTTACCCAAAGCCCAAAGTGACACCTTCACAGTGCTCACATTGTCTAACCAACAGTACAAAACTCAATATTATTACCAAAAAAATCTAAATAATTTAAAGGAAAAGCAGCAAATCTTCACATGTGTGAAGCTGGAACTATAAAATGTTTTTACATGAAAAATGACTTAAACCATCCAACGACGGTTGAGGGCAAGAACAACTGGACTTGGTTGAAGATACTGGAAGACGTTTCGTCCCTCATCCAAAGGACTTCTTCAGTTCTGACTGACTGGCAGGGAAACTCAGCTATTTAACCTCAGTGGGGTTGTTAGCCCGGGTCATCGATACCGCTGGTTCGTTAGTGTTCCTTGTTGCTGTGACGACAGTTGTTACAGTCGTTAAGACTACCTGTGGCCAAGACTGAACGACCATCGTTGGTATCTTCACCTGAGGCCAATAGGTTCCGTTTGTTGAGTTTCCTGGGAAGTGATGAAAGGACAGCATTGTAAGTGGGGGATAAGTGGTGGCGTAGACCCCCTCCCCTGTTCAATGACGGCTTCTCAACCCTGGTGTAGATGGCTTCCTTGACACCTCTTTCAAACCATCCATCTTCTCTGTCTAAAATGTGCACCTGGTGGTCCTCAAACGAGTGTCCTCTGTCCTTCAGATGTAAGTAGACTGCAGAGTCTTGACCTGAGGAGTTGGCCCTTCTGTGTTGAGCCATGCGTTTGTGTAGTGGTTGTTTAGTCTCCCCAATATACAGGTCTG